AAACGTGGCATCAGGTTGCAACATACTATCCAACGGTAGCTTGAGCGTAGATACATGTGAGCCTGTATTATGAACATGCTCAAGAGGACCAACCCACAGTCATAGGATGGAAAAACTAAAAGAGAAAACCCAGAAGGCAATCTCGAACATGGGAGACGACTCCAATGAGTAATGAAGAAATCACAATCAAATCAGCCCGAACATCCGAAGTCAATCCTCCGTCCGCGTCCAATTGAAATCGCAAGTTGGAACTGCGAACGGGAGGGCTCGGGAGGCGGTCCTCACCGGGTCGATCCCCAGCGCCGTGGACAGTCGAGCAGCTGGTTAAGTCACCGGAGTCATGTTGAGAAAACATCACAACGATATGAACATTGGATGAAAAATCCACGGTAGCATGGAATCGTTGTCTCGGAGTTAAAAAAGGAACCCCAAAATCCTTCAAAGAAAGTGGAGAAATCCCACGATGAGTACCCATCGGTAACGCAATGTCGCTTAACTGGCTAAGAAAGTGCGCCCTCTGGTGGGTAAAAACCATGTACGTGTGGCGACTCCTTGAGATTATTTTTCCATTGTCTTGGGAATTCTTGGGAATTTTCCATTTTGATGTGTGGCCACGCTGCACCATGTGTCGATATTGCAGTGCAGTGCATGCAGTCTAGCCCTTGTTAAGTTTCTCAAATTTGAAATTTCAGTTCAGTTCATTTAAATCCAGTGTTCACAATAAAAGTACATCAAACCTTATTACTTGTATTTCTTAAGTCAGAACATAATAAATATATAAAATACACGCAAAAGTCCACTTGGTGCTGAAGGCGATGGAAAAAATCTCGGGCTCGCCTGGAAAGCTTGATCATGGTGTGTGTACCTGCGTGTAGTGTAGATGAAGATGGTGGTGGTCGGGTGGTGCCCCGCCTCTGTGACCGGGCGGGCTGGTCAAATTACCGAGGGACCTATGGGTATCGAACGCCAAGCCTCACCTACCCGCAAGCACATGAGTGACGTCTGCTGCTTGCATGTGCTCTTGTTGTAGACTGTCGAATGTGCGGGATTTTTCGGGAATCTTGCAGTGACTCTTGCTGGAGAGGAGTGCCTGTTCCCGGGGTATTTCCTACTGTCGAACCCGGGGATTAGACCCGGTCGTAGTAGAGAAATATCACGCTTGGAGTGTTGGTTGGAGGGTGATTTCCCATAAGAACGACTTGAGCTAACAGTAACAGTTTTACTATTTTTACAAGCACAGCGAGTACGGTTAAATTGTATGTGTTGACGCTACGTGTCACTGAAAAAACTAGGAGTCGTCTTTGTGTAACGGGCAATTTAAGGGACATGTAGTGGGCACAGAGGGTGAGGCTTGGGCGCTAATCTTTTCAGCGAATGTTTGTGTGCATGCGGGCTGATATGCAAATGTAGGTAAACAGAGGTGAGATGTTTTCTGTAATGGAAAGCAAGTTCACATCTTTTACCAATTGCAAATACTGGTAACAAAGCAATTTCGGGTTCAACAGGAAAGAAGGGTCACGTGATTTTGCACGTTATATCAAAATTAAGACCATGAATTATTCTATCAATTCCCATAAAAAAACAAAATCAGATCTCTCACTGTTGATTTTAGATGATTTTACGTGATGACGTAATCATGATGTCACTTGGCAGTGCATATTATTTTATTGTAGTTTTAGTCTGTACCAAGTTTGAAGCCAATTAGACGAATAAAAGTGTTAAATTTTGTAAGCAGAATAAAATTGTCAATATTTGAAAAAAAACATAGAAAATCTACCGATGACGTCATCGTGACGTCATTTCAGATTTTGAGTACCGTAATTTTCGGAATATAAGCCGCGCGGCGTATAAGCCACAGCACGCAAAAATCTGCAAATTAAGATTTGAAGTCAACATATAAGCCGCACCGGCGTATAAGCTGCACCGACTGCAGCGGTTTCAATTTTGTAGGGCCTCCAAATTCTAGTCAAAATGCTCTGCACCAGTTCCATTTACACTACGAAAGCTATAAAAAGGGCCACAAAAGTTATATCAAATCATTCACAGTTGATACTCTTACAAACAAATATGGAAATTGATGATGAGAAATAAACACCGGGAATTGCTGCCGGCTGCCCCGTCCGGTCCCCGGCCTTAAACGTTAGTGCACGGCCCGGTAGCTTGCGCCGGCGAATGATAACATTTTCCCCCAGCACTTGAGAGACTGTGAAACCCACCGTGTGTCGTCCGACTGGAGCGCTACAAATGCTGCTTTGTGGCAACAGATGCTGATTTGTTTTGTCCCAAGAATAAACAGGTCCGTTTTTACAACAAAACGTATTAAATTGTTGTGATTACTAACGAGTAGTAACGTCAAAATTCAAGTTGCGATCGTAACTTTCTTTGAAAACAGTCAACATGATGCTGAAATTTTTATGGACGAATCCATTCATTTTGTAAGGGGTGATTTTTAGCGCCTGTTTTAAGTTTTACATCGTTTCTTGAATACATTTCAAGAAAAAAATTGTACTGTGACATTAAACAACTGATTATTGAATGAAGAAATGTTTGGAACTCCATAAAAAGTATTAGTTGTCTTTTTTTCTGTTTTTAAACAGCGGAAATATTGGTAATTATTGTTCCCAAGAAAGTACACCCCTTTATTACCACAAATGGTGTGGTCCATGGGGAATGCATGCAGCATGCATGCAGCATGCATGCAGCACTAGAATCACGTACGGCCGGTTGTCGAATGTCGATGTCGAAGAGACACCTAGCTTTCGCTAGCCGTACTTTTTACCGCTCGGTACCTTTTTTGGGACGTGCTTTCGGTTTGTTAATGACTTTCTTAATTGATGATTCATATCAGCAACAGATCTTTTCTTATACCAGTACACTAAATATACATTTGAATATCATTTTTATTCTTCAAGTCTCGGCGTATAAGCCGCCCTGTGTATAAGCCGCAGTAAACATTTTCATGGGCAAATTCAACGTTTAAGCCGGGTCTTATATTCCGAAAATTACGGTACTAGTACTATTATCTACCCACCCACTAGGTTTCATGACAATCAGACATGCCCTTATATGTTAATCGCATTTTTGATGACGTCATAATGATGTCACACAATTTTCAATATTTTTCAATATTAACAAACATAATACACAAAGAATTTTGAATTTAGCATATTGCATTCGTGAGATATGGCTTAAGGGTCCAACAGTTCAAAAATTGATATAAAATCACACGATGACGTCATGATGACGTCACCTCAATTTTTACCTATAACACATCCCGGTCTGCCTACATACCAAGTTTCAACACAATCAGACTAACAGTTTTGTAGATATAGGACTTTAAAATATGCACATTTGTGATGACGTCACGTGACGTCACGATGACGTCACTCTTCAGGGCACATCTATGCTATAAGAACTAAGCCTATGCTGACTTTGAATGATGTATGACAAAGATGAATGGTAAAAGTGAGGGGTGGAAAAGACGTGTACAATGTCTATGGGATTTGCCAGGGAATAAAAAGAAGGAAAAAAACTAGAGATCTATGTCTGTTTGCAACAGAACATATGACGTCATCGGTTGATGATTTGAAGAATACTATCGGCCAAGAGACTAACACCGTTGAAAGTTCATTTCTATTACCACTTTCAAATAATAAGCCACTTCCGGTTTGGGCCTTTTTCGACCGGAAGTAAGGGTCACGTTGATTGCACGAACACTGAATGAAATGAAGACCTCAACCTACTCTACCACTTGCCGGCAACAGAATGCTGTGGACGCGTACGGTTGATTTCTTATGCATTTTTAGATATTAAAAGTGTCACAATTTAATTGCCTATAAATAAACACAGGATGACGTCATCATGACGTCATCATTCCACAATGTTGTTTGAATTAGGGTCTTTGTTTGGACAAAGAGTGGTGTAAATGAATAACTGGCAAAGAGTCGAAAATGCCCTTTGAAAAGCGACAATTTTTTTTAAATTTCTGTGTACAAAGTCTAGGGGAAAAATTAATTATTCAAAATGCCATAATAAATCACTTGATGACGTCACCATGACGTCACTCTTCGGGGCACATCTATGCTATAAGGACTAAGCCTATGCTGACTTTGAACGATGTATGACAAAGATGAATGGCAAAAGTGAGGGGCGGAAGAAACATGTACAATTTCTATGGGATTTGCCGGGGAATAAAAAGAAGAAGAAAGAAAAAAAAAAAATCAGAACAAAAACAAAGGCTTTTCCGCAACTATGTGGAAAAGCCAAAAAAAAAATCTGAACAAAAAGAAAGGCTTTTCCGCAACTATGCGGAAAAGCCAAAAATGAGAACAAAAAGAAAGGCTTTTCTGCAACTATGCGGAAAAGCCAAAAAGTTAAAAGTCGAAAAATTCCAATGATGTTGTTAAAATTGTTAATCAATTTTACTCTATGTCCAGGCCACTTCTATGGTGCACATCACATGCATGGTTTGCTCAATATCTCATTCTCTTTATATGGAGATCATATCAGAGGTTCTTAAGCACCCTGTTGTAGTAGGAGCTCGCATGTGGAGCGGACCACAGTGTCTCATGACCGGTTTGTAAACAGCAGCTTAACACCACCCACGTGACAGGCTCTTGACAAATGGCAATGGCTAAACTGTCTCAAGTACTTACGATTAGTGTTTTGTTTCTTTTTAATTAAAAAGAAAAGTTTAATAATATATCGTATAAGTTTTGATAGTTTGGGTTGAGCGAATAGAAAAAAGACCCTGCGGTAAAATACACGTTGCTGAACAATCTGAACTCATCAAACAAATTTGGTTCGTTTTGGTTCAGAAAGTCAAGTTAGTGAATTATAGTACAGGTCAGTGGTTCAACTACAGTGCTAGTTTTTACCCAACAATGTCTATCCTGTATTGATCGGTCATACCACAGCATACTGGCTAGTCCCAGCAGTGTATTCTAACAGTTGAACAATCAAGAGCCAAGCTGTAACTACATAAGATGACCAAACTGTAACTAGTAGAAACTATATTAAAGGGAAAAGTTTCTACGACTTACTTTTGGGCACTTCAATTCCCAAGGAATATTTGCCATGACATCTACAGCATCTGCACCTCCTACACCGATACAAACACCACCTAACCCACCTCCATTGGGAGTGTGACTATCAGTGCCAATCAGTAACACACCAGGAAAGGCGTAATTCTCCAAGATAATCTGGAAAATATCCATATGTCAACAGGTTCATTAGGAAGTTGCACTTGATGTACACTTGAATGTTTACCTCTTCTTTATTAAGTATTGAGAGTCTGAGTCTTAAGGTTTCATAGAAATTGTGAGATCACGAAAGTCTGTTAATATAAAACTAACATAAGTATATTTTTGCTACCTTTTTGACACCATTTTTTGAGATGGGGACACACAATTATATGTGAGCAATCAGATTTTAGTATATTCAAAACCAGAGGCACAAAACATTAAAAAAGAGGAGGTCTGACCTTTTTGTAACTGGGTGTGACATGGGAAATTTGATAAATACAACAAAGATTGGTTACCTGATGAATGATTCCACTGCCAGGTTTCCAAAACCCAACCCCATACTTGGAGCCAGCAGTAGACAGAAAGTTGTACACTTCCTTGTTGAGATCCTAGAGTAAAAATAATAAACATTCAGAATACAATCTAAACATGTAGGATTACCTTGTATAAAAGCTTCAAGGTTTCAAGGTATATGACTCTAAACCAGGGGGGGGGGGGTAAATATCAACAAGATTCATTTCTTACAATGTAATGTGGCACCCTATTGGTCTTAACATGCTCTGGTTGTACTCTTGCATGCAGCACAAGTGGCTTAGAGAGGTCTCACTACCAGTCTTAAAAATTGACCGGTGTTTAAACGGTGGTTTAAAACCTCCCATGTGACTAGTCCTAGTAAATAGGACTCTACAAATTGCCTTTCTTCACATTTGGGCAACGGTCTGGCAATAGTGGAATCCTAGGGAGGTTCTTTCCTTGGAGCAAAAACAAATCATCACACACTCATCGCCCACCAAAACCATCAGATTTTACCGCCAAAACAGACTCCAAAGTGCCAAATACACCACCTCGGGATGCAGACGACATCGAGAATTAAGATGGTGGTACTTAGCATAACTTACGGTTCGAAAGAAAAGAGAAATTTCCCGTTCAAATACGTAACAGTGATTTGTAGAGTCCTTGTTACTTGGACTACCATGTGATAGGCTCTTGACCAACAGAAATAAGTACAGTCAGCTACCGTTATAGCGAAATCCACGGAACCCAGTCAAAATGTTCGATGTATCCGAATTTCTTATTATCTTCACTACTCATGTGAACGTGCGTGATGTACAAATGACTTTTGCAATTTGAAAACAATTTAGAACTTGCTCTCTAGCATGTGATTTATCAACAACAACAATTATTTTTAAAAAATATAATTAGATTTTTTTTTTTAAATGTACGTAACAAAAATTAAAAAAACATTATGAAAGATACGACGTTTTATTGATTGATCATCGATGAGGATGAAGTCAACGTCATGAATGGCGGATGACCTGGATCACTTCGATGTTCAAAGTAAGTAATCTCTCCAGCAGAAATTGTGTCATGGAGAGACATTTCAATTTTACTGTCCTTTTATCTTGCAGTGTTCCATGTAATTAGTTTTTACTTTGTTCTAATTTTTCTTACACTGGTCCAGTCTGTACGTTCGTGATTCGGGTCAAGTTCATATTGATCAAGTGCCCTCACGAGTCAGTGTTCTCATGGTGGTGAAGTCATAATCGTACATTGTGGTTGGATATTAACGTCTGACGAACGTTTACGTCATGCAAGCACACGAGCTCATTGGCGTGCAGCAGTTCATTTACCCATAATCGTTTGCGTTACATGCATAATTCAGTGTTATAGGCGATAGTCCCAGTGGGTTCCTTTTTAAAAATTAACAAATATCTTAATGTATGTTGTACTTGGTGCTCGAATGAAATTACGTATTGACAATTTTGGCAAAGGTCAGATTTTTTTGGATCAATTCATGGGAGGGGCCGTTTATTATATGGAATGAAATTACGTTTGGAGAGTTTTGGGACAGTCTAAGATCAGATTTGTTAGTTTTTTTTGTAAAATTATTTGGGGGTGGTTTGTCTGATTAATTTATTTAATTTCCAATTATTCTTTTTTTCTAGTCAAAGGGGTTCTATTTAGGGGGGTTCTATTTTTGGAGGTTCTTTTTATTTTTGGAAAAGTGGCTCAGAAGGCAATGTTCCAGGGGTGGGGGAGGGGGTTAATGACTTTTATTTGACTCGTGATTCAAACTCTAATCACATATGTTTGTGCCTGCCACTTAGTTTGTCTATTGTACCCAGGTATCCCACTCGAAGCCATCAGCCTTTGTCCCTTAAAAAGGCTTAAATGCAGCATGACATAATCAGTCTTTTCTTACTCTAATTTTTGTTTCAATAGGTCTATTGATGCTCCGTATTCAAATGATGTAGTAGTCTTTTCGCAAGCAGTGATTTTCGTTGATAAAGATGTTTATTTTATTTTCCTTAAAAATCTGAGTTTTTAGAAATAAAGGAGACCTACGGAAGTGCAGCCAGTAATGTCAATGTTCCCTTCCAGGTGATAAATAGGGAGCTACATTTTCTTTTATTCACAATTCATAAATACCTTAGAAAGTTTACGCATTCCTATTGGTCGAGAGCCCGTCACGTGGCCGGTCTTAAACGGATGATAAGACATGGCTGGCTGGTCTTAAACACTTTTCAAGTGTCACATGAAATTTGGACTTCCATGAAATCCGGTGCCTTTTAACGTTTCATTGGTTGAACGTTCACATTCCTCACGTATGCATGCGCAATGTACTACCAGTGAATCAGTATTTCATGGTCCGAAATTCACACTACACTAGCCCAGCTGCGTTTTGCGCGACATCGCGCAGTACGCGCGACGCGCACGCCAATGTCCTTATAAGGTAACGAGTTGTGGAGGAGCACTCCATATTATAGTCAAAGGGGTGTTTCGTAAACCATGAAGTAAAATTGTTGAACAAAATGGTTGGCAACGTCTAGTTTTTGACATGTTTTGATTTTTGGACCGAAAAGATTTGTTTTTGACCGAAAAGGTATTTATGAATGGGAATAAATTTGTGTTTGGTCGGTATTAAACACTCTGTTTAAGACCGGTGGGAGTCCGGATGGGTGATAATTACCCATCCAGACTCCCACCGGAGTCCGGATGGGTGATAATTACCCTTGGCTTCGCCTCGAGTAATTATCACCCATCCAGACTCCCACCGGTCTTAAACAGAGTGTTATAATACCTCCCGAACACACATTTATTCCCTTATTATTGATTTGCTCTTATCAGTATGATTCACAGTCAATTTTGTAGCCCAAATGTAGCCCAGTTGATTATATGGCGAGTTTTATTGGAAACTTATTTTGAGTATATCTTTTAGGGGTGTAACTTTGGGAAAACTCACATAATGGAAATTTGGACATTTTATGCCACCATAGCGACCTAGTCCTTATAGCAGAGACAAGGGAGCAGCTACATGCAAAGATGGCAGCATGGAGAGTGTGTCTGGCATCTAAGGGTCTGAAGATCAACGCCGGGAAGACCAAGGTGATGGTTAGTCGCGTCAGCGGTGGGCCAATGACGAGCTCTGGTGCATGGCCGTGTGGTGTGTGTGGGAAAGGTGTAGCTGCCAACTCAATCCAGTGTACAACGTGTAGGAAGTGGGTTCACAGGCGATGTAGTGGCTTGAAGGGTAGTCTTCAGGCTGCTAGCGCCACGTTCGTCTGTAAGAGATGTCGGGGTGATGGTCTACGGCCAGAGGAGAGAGAAGCGGGTCTGGAGGTCTGCGGTGACACGTATGAGGTGGTGGAGTCGTTCTGCTACCTGGGTGACATGCTGGGTGCTGAGGGAGGAGCAGATGCAGCAGTGACATCACGCGTGAGGAGTGGGTGGAAGAAGTTCAGGGAGCTGGCCCCATTTTTGACATCCAAGGCGCCGCCCCTGAAGATGAAGGGCCAGGTTTACACCGCCTGTGTCCGAAGCAGTATGGTGTATGGCTGCGAGACATGGCCCACAAGGGTGGGGCACATCCAGCAGATGGAACGAGCAGAGATGAGAATGATCAGGTGGATGTGTGGGGTGTCTCTGGCTGACAGGCTGTCAAGCGAGGAGCTGAGGAGGAGAGTGGGAGTGGAGGGGATCGGCATCGTATTGAGGAGGCACAGGCTGAGGTGGTTTGGTCATGTGGAGAGAAAGGAGGATGTCAACTGGGTCAAGAGGTGTACCAACGTAATTGTGGGTGGGCCCACACCCGTCGGCCGACCGCGCAAGACTTGGCAGAGCTCCGTGTCAGATGACATGCGACTGCTTGGAGTCAATGTGAGGGATGCGACGGACAGAGCCAAGTGGAGGAGAGCCATAGGGAGAAAGCAGGCCAACCCAGAACAGACTGGACAACGGCCTTAAAACCGACATGATGATGAGCACCAGAATATGTTGGTAAAAATGTCGCCAACATGCAAAGACTAGTGGATGTCTCACACTGCGCATGTGCAGCAAGTAACCTCCAAGTGACTACACCGGCAATAGGCTCTGCACATACGTGTAATGTGGTGGATCTGAAAAAAGCTGTTGAGTTTGATTTATCTTGAACTTGATGTTACACCTTGAAGAAGCCTATTATCTTCTGCTGCGACATCTTGCCTTGCTGCCTACATGCTGGACAGGTACATGCCTGTCCACTTCTTAAACAGCTCCGAAACCATCCAGGCCTTGTGGTTAGCACTGTACGTCGCCGGGAGTTAGACAACGTTTTTGAAGAACCTTGGTTCTGGAATTTCCCGATGACGACCGGCTTCAGCTTCTCGGACCAGTCCATGTTCGCACAAAGTAGGACGGTGACGTACATGTACATGGTCCCTCTGCTTGTCGCCAAGGCACTGTCAACGAGACACTTTGATGAAGGGCCTTTAATGTTTGTAACTGGTAGAATAAGGTACAAATTGGGAAAGCCCGTTCACAAAGGTCATTCTATATCTTGGACGCAAGTGGCGCGGGTGACTGGCACACGTCATCGGAACACTGATGACAGGCCATTGTTGGTAACCGCAGCGCGAGAATTAACGAGCACCTTCCATCTTAATAGATTCTGCGTCAGCAATATGAAACAACTCACACGAGAGACACCAATTGATGACTAATGTTGCTTTTAAATTGGGTCTAAATGAAAAAGCCATGAGCCAGTACTACCGTTAGTTATAAATGGGTCGCTAACGATGCTTTTTTATGCAACGGGGTTGCAAAAACCTTTCGTTGTTATGTCTGATTTCGTTTTAAGCAAATTTTCCCCAATAGAAATTTGCACAATTTTGCACATTTGCACAAGATATGCGTTTGTTATTTCGCTAAAACAGGAGACAACTGTACATGTATGCTGTCTCAGGTATTTATGAACAGCTGTTTAACATATCTTCTGTGAGAAGTCGCATGGATGTTAATGCAAATAGAAATTAACGGCCAAAAGATCACAATCTTATCTCTGGCTACATGGCCATTATGTTATATTGCCATATACCATGACAAACGCAGCTGATGACCCTTTGAGCAAGTGTGCATTCCAAATAAAGAGTGTTGACTGTTGCCATCATGTGGTGCTAAGTGTGACACTATGTTATTGTTCCAATGGCTAGTACTGTGAGATATTAATCAAGTGTCTTTCGTAATACTGACTCTCTCTGGGTGTGTTTGATTAGCTCACCCAGGTTGACTCGGATTAGCCGTGTGCCGTTAGATTAGCTCTGATGTCATACTCGGGTCAGCCACCACAGTGTGGTAAAAACACATTACATGCATGAGTCGTTCATTCCCAAAAACTGACAAATATGGCGGCTGGACAGAGGGAAAGATCGAGTGGACCAAAATATCAACTTTATTTGAAGTATAAACATAATTACACGTCACTAGACCTATGTTTGTGAACAAACACATGGCTGTTTCGGCCTTTTTGTTTTTGTATATTTATGTCATGTTATAGACTGGTAGGACAAACATGTACAGTAGAAAAATGCAGAGTGATCAGGACCTATAGTTATGTAGACATAGGCTGTAGAAAAACGCACTTTTAATGTGTCGTCACATGTCATGTGATGACGTCATCATGACTTCACATCAATTTTCATCTATAACACATACACAAAAAAAGGAAAAACAAAATCTTAACAAAACAAAGGCTGTTTCGGCAAATAGAAAAAAACAAAATCTTAATGAAAACAAAGGCTGTTGCCGAAACAGCCAATTATTGATGTCATTGCAACTTTAGAGGCAATTATTCCAGTCCGACATCCTTACATTTTGAAATTGACAGAAAGCAGTATATCTCAACTATTAATGTGACTGTGACTACGGACGTCATGTGAATGTCACTGTGGCCCGCGTTTGAGCATTCGATTAGTCCGGCCTTCGTGGTTAACTTGTCTGCATTTACCCAAATTGACCCAGCAGAGCTAATTGCAGGGATGTGATTAGTCTGTGACAAAAAAACTGAAAATTTTATGCATGAAGTGCAAACTCTGGCGAGCGAGAGATTTTAGATGCTCTGTGGTGCAATCTGATGCAATTACTGGGCACTTTCCTCTGAAATTCTGAAGCAGAATTTGTTTTAATTTTATGAAGAATTTTCCTTAATTTGTTATTAAAAATGTACTCTTGTTCTAATAAAGTTTTTTTTCTGTACTCAAAGTTGAGAACCATGTTGTTCTCCCCAGGATTTTTTCAAACCTGTGGGGGAATTGTTGTTGTGATACAACAACCTGCGAAGCCATGGCGTGGGTTCGGGGCCCGCTTAAGGGACCCGAAAAATTTTGAACTTTAGAAGCTTTCTGGTGCATTTTAGAGCATTTCAGAGGAGATCTTGTAATATTTTTGTAAAAAAAAAATCAAAATTGTAAACTTAAATCACTTCTGCTTCCGATAACATGCCTTTCAAAATAGCATCGGTTAGTATTGTTGGAAAAAAATTATTTCACCATTTCTATATTTGTAGTAAAGCAAGGAATCGTTTATATTTCATGTATTTTGTGCTGGATTATTCTCATTTGTGCCACAAAAATTATCAAGACTAGCCATCAAAAGTGATTAAAACTTGCCTCACCTAATTAAAAATATATTTGAGGTGGGTCATTCCACAGTTATGCTTAACGTACATCACGGCCGCTAGCGCCGCAAACATTCAATCTGGCCGGCCGTACATCGCACCGTACACACGGCCGGCCCGGCGCAGTATCAGTGTGCATTGCTGCACTGTGTACGGCCCATCCCACGTGGCCGAAAATTCTGCAGGACTGCAGAAACACGCTACGATGTTTCTCCACAGGTTTGAGTTTTGCAATCTCGTCATTTCAATGGAAAATACATACACAGAAAATGAAGATCACGTTCTGTGAATTAATTTGCAGAAATCCTCTTTTTCCATCGATGGTTGTTTGGTATTTTTACTATTTTAACGATCCAACTTCGGCCGATTACGCACGGAAAACGAACCTGTGAGTACTTCCAGTAGTCACTGGTTCTGATCCTTCATCATAGCATTGATTCTGTTAGCACGCGAAGGGTACCAGTGTACCATGCTGCACTCGTCTGCACACCTGACCAGCGCAACACGTGCATCTCAGGTACCGACACAGGAACTAGACCTACATAACCACAACCTCGGCCCCGAGCGAACAATCACATAATCGCACTAATGGCAACGCATGGTCTTCAACTTTGTTCTCACATTGGGTGTTCAATATGTGCGTGCGGCATACATATCGATCAACGAAGTTTATGTCCGTAACTTAAGTAAATTTCGGATATTTCGGCAAGCAAAACTCATTATGAATAATTAATCAGCACATTCTACCCCCCTATTTTCTCAACGGATTCACACGATTCACGTTGGTGGACTTTTGAGGCCCAAAAAAACGGATTTCCGGAAAAAAACGGAGAAATCACATCCCTGTTAAATTGAAGGCATCCTCTAGAATCTCCCTACCTGAATCTTGTTACCAGTTTACCTATAATCTTCCTCAGTGGAAATGTCAAGAGATATCTCGTCACAATAACTTTACATTCCTTTCAGTTCTTTGTACTCTAGCAGCTCATACCTTTAACTTTGAGTGGCTGTTAACCCTAAGGGCAATTCCACCGTTACGGACGTTACATTCAGAGGCGACTAGAAACTTTGACAAACCAAAATAACATATTTGGGGTCAAAACAAATTTTATTCACTGAGCACATTTCAGACTTAGGCCCAAATGTATAACATGGTATAGTAAACTAAGAGGTAACCTAATTAATTAATTAGACATAATTGTTGCTAATGAGCGTTACGGACGTTACGTGTTTTGACAAGGCTTTTCAACATTTGGAATGTATTGGTGAAACTCTGTGAAGTTTCTTGCCAAAGCTTTTTGAAATAACTATGCACTAGCAGTTGTCACTTCACTCTTTACAAACATGGATGACCACTTAGAAAAATCCACTGTGATGTTGGAGAAAAACCCAAGTGTTTGTCGTTACGGACGTTACATTGTAGTGTTACGGACGTTACGAGTGTGAAATCGTGATGCTCCAAGATTACCAGTCATGTTTTTTTCAGCTGTAAATATCTTTTTTCATCCTTTTTATGGTGTACCACCAGCACCACATGTGACTAGAAACCTTCTTGTAAGAAAATGATGGTGATAATGATGGTGATGACGATGGTGATGGTGGTGAGGAATTACGTCAAAATGTCACTTTTATCATTGTTTTGGTATAAAACTTCCTGTTGAAATACATGTACCTGTAAATGTCAGTGATTGCTTTAATGATAATCTTTCTTCAGAGAGTAGCACATTTCAAATTAACATTGACCATGTATCCTTTAGTATTTGCAATGCAGTAATAAGAGTGTCCTCCATCTGAAACAATTCAGGTCACCGTCATTTAAATGTTAGGGTATACCTACCGGTACATGTACATGTACATATTGGTATTAAATCAGTTCATGTGCCAATTTGAAAACATTTCAATACATTTTACAATTTGCATTGTTGTAGGAGAAATGTGTGAATTTATTTCAATAAAAGATCAGTTGCTAATGTTTTTAACTTAAAAATAAAAAATTCAATGGAAATGCATTACGGACAATCGGGACTTTAGTCAGACGGCCAACTTGAGCGATTTGACGAGTCATTATAACAGTCTGTAAGAATTGTGAACAAACACATTTAGAAACATTGTGGAAATCTTCCAAATTTGCTCTACCGTACTGAAAAATACAGTAACTGTTGTTTGTATCATAAGTTATAAAATTTAGTGAAATGGCTCAGCTAAAAAAAGCTATCCACTCCGTTCACAAATACCCCCTCACCGGCAAAGAGAGTACAGTTGGGGGTGACCGACCGACGCCATCTTGCCTGACTGCAATTTTGCCGTGATATGCGCGGCTGTACCATACCACTGCGAGTATGTAGTACAAATCCCCTGTGTACAGTAACGTGCGTCACACACTAAGTACAAGGAACGGTGCGTGCCAACCAGCTAAATGTCCCGCCCATGGGACGTTGGTGCTAGGTAAAAGGGCGCCCTCTTTCGCTGGTGCAAGGAGCCCACTGACACTTTAGTCCAGATAAAAACTTCTGAAAAAGTATTAACCAAAATTCACTTACATGTACTTTGCATGTGTGCTTGTCAGTTTCAAACTTCAGCTGTATGTACATGTATACATGTACATGCCTGAGATATATGGCTCGTATGTAATTATAACATTCAGGCCAGGAGGCAGAACATTTTTACAAATGACCTAGATTATGTGCACATGGGGTCATTTCATATTTTAAAAGAGAGATGTCAATAAGGTGCATAGTGGAGGGTGCATGAAAGGTTCATTTGTATGCAGTACAATGTGTAAAATCCGTAACGTATACATTTATGCAAGTATAATGTGTAACGTCCGTAACGTAACATCCGTAACAAAATTTTGTAACGTCCGTAACGCTCGTTAGCCTAGATCTAATTATTGGAATTTCAAGTTTCATACTGCACAAGGTAACCCTTCAGAAACTAGCTTTAAATTTGTGGTTTGTAAAAAATCACTTCACTGGATACGACTGTAGAGGAAAAAAATGTTCAAAACGTTACGGACGTTACGGTTGCCGCGGAAAAAAACCCACGTAAATATGATTATTCATAGTGTACTTATGCATATACAAATCACATTTTTTTTCCTAATTTTTTGGAGAAGGTTCCCTGATGACTATTTCAAATTTAATAAATTCCAAAAATGTTTTCATCTTTGGTTAGCTATTAAATGTTAAAATTTTTCAATTTTTCCCCCAAATTTTTGAAATTTAACAAGTAACCATGGATACATATTCAGACGTTGAAAAAAAAAATGAAAACGAACAAATCTAGGCAATATTAGTGCATATTCATAAGGTTTAGGTATCCCCCTCACCTGCAAAAGTGAAACAATTTGAATAAGTTCCATTTGAAATTTTGAGGGTCATGTCAACTTTGGCATGGAATTTCCCCTAAGCATTTTTTTTTACAATATACATCTGTAACTTACTAACCTTTGCCCTTGCAAGATCTTTATCACCTCCCAACTGAGCTTCAATCAAGTGATCACAGTGAATGGTAGACGGCACTGCAGTCTTAAGGAGTTCAGAAGGAAACAAATGAAATATCTATGAGCCAAACACTTGTAACAGCATGGAAAAGATGAGAATGTCAAAATATGATTCTACCTCGCTATCCCTAGCACCTTGTCCTTACGTGAGATTGCACCTGTCACCGGTATGTTTCTTCACAGTTGAGAGAACCCATTGTTAAACAAATGGTTTCCCCACTATATAACCGCACCCGAGGCCCATAATCCTCAGTGCATTTTTTGTGACCGGTTGTTTCAGTTGCACGTAACACGTACACACGACTTTACCATGGACGACGAAAACGTCAACATCTTAGAACTTCTTGCGGTGCAATCGGACAGTGATCTACCACCGCAAGCTACTCAACCAGACCCGGAGCCGACACCATCGGGCTCGAGGACTGCGGCAATGGCAACACCCAAACCTCTCGCCACACCCAAATCTCGTGGCAAGAGAGGCAAGGAATGTTCCAATGCCGTTACACGAGAAGAATTTTCTGCAGTTCAAAATCAGCTTACAGCAATGGCTGACGCCAGGGATTTTCCTTAGCGGTCGCCCGCTCGCCAAATGCGAGTGAAAACAGCCGCGGACGAGTCAAAACACTTCCCTCGGTCGTCCAGTGGGCGAGTTAAAATATTGATAATTCATTACATGTGATTTCCCAGATCAACTGTTTATTGCCACAGAGAAAGAATACACAACAAACCGCAAGCAAGATTGGTTGTTAAAAAACGGCGTCAGTCAGCGTCACGGTACAGCCTACCTGTTTAATGTAGCACAGGGTATTAAGGATGTGTCTAGCTGAAAATCAGGGGGAAATGTATCAGCTTAAGGAAAATACTGTGCAAATGCGACAATATTGGGCTCGGAAGCGTCACTTTTTCGAAGATTTGCAATCGAACAACACGCGAGCGAGACACCAGCGAATCCAGCGATCGGCGAGATGTGGCGATTTATCCCCGGTGTTTCGGAACCTGGAGCTGGAACATCAAATCTAGTGAAAAACGTGATCGTGACCCAGAGTATGAGAAAACGAAAAGACGGCGATCGTACCGAAAAGAATGGGAGACAGAGTTTAAGTGGCTCGCCTTCGATGAAGAGGAAGGTGTTATGTTTTGCAAGGTATGCCGGGCCAATAAAGTCACGGGCGATCGCGGCAAGAAACAAAACACCTTTTACAAGGGAAGCGACACCTTCAAGATTGAGTCGGTTAAGGCACACGGAATGAGCGAAAACCACAAACTTGCAACAGATCGTGACAAAGCAAGAAAAGCTGCCCCAGGAACCAGCCCAGCTGAAATTATGCTGAAGGGAATGAACACTGCGGCAGTAAACCGACTGAAACTTCTGTTCCGCAACGCCCACGCTCTAGCCCGTAACTGTCGGCCGTTTACGGACTTCAGATGGATGGCCCGCCTTGACAGCGTGAAGGGGCTCGATGTTGGTTCGGTGTATCACACCAATAAATCAGCACGTACATTCGTGCACTTCATAGCAGAGGTAAGTTTGTTTTAAATGTAGGCCTATAATTATTATATTTCTATATATTGTTTTGTGTAAATTTTACTTAACAAAATAAGTTTTTAATGAAATCAAAGTAGTTTGCCACATGGCCGATGTGATCGGGCAGTGAATACGAAACACATTGCGTGGTCGGTTGGGTGCGTGCATGATTGTGTCGACGAGTTGTGTTGGGGGTTTTCGATATGAATAATGCATATATTTTCCCGCTAGCCGCTATTGGATTGGTGACCGTGGTTACATCCAGGGTGACGTAGAGCTATGCATGATGTATGAAGAGAATTAGACTGGTGCCTTTCCTTAAATACCTTGCAGTGAAACACTTTAAAAAGGGGACCAGACGAACCAGGAAGTAATAATTTTACGGGAAATGGATGATAGACACAAGTGTTATTTTTTGGCCGTAGCCAAATCATTTCGGACGCGGCCCAGGCTAGATGGAAATGTGCACGTGTGGAAATGAAATTCCTCCCGTACATGTACACGTACATATACATGTACGTACTGTATTGCACATGTACAGTATATTTGTGCGTGTTTGTGTGAATAGATTTCGGGGCTCCACGACCGCTGGATGGGTTGTATTGTGCGGTATGAATTCACACTAGATCTGAACACCGGGGCCCGGTCAGATTTTGCTGGTTAGTCTTGACACTAGACAGTTTGTAAATTGTAGTTGACGGTCAGGAATTTCTGATTCAATATTGCAGATGCACTTAGTAAGACAGGATGAGGAATGGAAATAATAGGGTTCCTACTAAACCTGTCCTTTCCTGGTTATATTTTCGCAATTATATTTAGGCCTGGGCTTAATTTGGATTTAGAAATAATTTTCTAAGTTTTATTTTTTTTTTTTCTTCTTCAGGTTGAGCGTCTCAAACTGAAGCAGGCAATCGACAAGGCAAAGTACATATCGTTGATTTCGGATGGCACTACTGATGCATCAATTACTGAAGCCGAGATCTTGTATGTGCGCTACAGCCTCGACGGAACACCACATACAAATCTGGTTGGCGTTCACAGTGTAGCCAAAGCTGATGCGGCATCAATAACGGAGTGCATCGTGGAAGTCGGAGTTAAGAAGCGACTTGAAATTGATGAGGATATTTTGAAGAAGAAGCTGGTTGGTTTCGGCTCGGACGGGGCTTCGGTGATGATTGGACGTAACAGTGGAGTGGCTACCCTGCTGAAGAGATACAGCCCAGTCATGCAAGCAGTTCATTGTACAGCACACAGACTAGAGCTCGCCTTCAAAGATGCCTTGAAGCCAGTAGCTTTATACACCACACTCAGCAATCTTCTCCTCAATCTGTATCTGTACTACCGAAAAAGTTCAAAGAAAAGGAGTGGACTGAAGCTTTCAGCTGAGGTGGAACATCAAGCAGTGGCCATACCTACCAGAGTCGGTGGCACCAGATGGCTACCTCATCTTCAGAGGGCACTGCAGCAGATGCTACGGGGCTATAAGGCCTTACTGACACACCTTCGACAGGTTTGTAGTTATTGCATGATCTACATTGATCAATCAAACTTTTGATTAAAATAATACACTTTGTTTAACAAAATCTAATTTGTATTAACATATTTTAAATTGTTTTCCATTAGGTTGAAGTAGAAGAAGGCATGTCTGCAGATGCAAGAGGGAAGGCCAAGCAGTACGCGAAATTTCTCTGTCGACATGACCTGATGAAGTTTGCTCACTTCATGTTGGATGTGGTGACAGTTCTCTCTCGAGTGTCCCTAACAGCCCAAGTGTCAAACAACACCGTGGCGGACGTAGCGGCGTCCATTGATGCAGCTGTTGCAACCCTTTTGAAATACAAAACAAGGTAACTAACACTTCATTGTTTTGGTGATCTGAAAAAAGCATCCTGACTGCAGATAACTTTTCATTAATGTTTTTTCTTCTTATTAATATAGAAAGATGACGCCCAAGTTGCAGGACTTTGGTGATGTTGGCATATTCAAAAGGGAGCCCCTGACTGGAGGTGGAGATATCAGTGCAGCAATGGCCAAAGTGCTGACTGGCCTAGTTACAAGCCTTGACGGCCGATTCGAAGACATGAGCAGAGGTGTACTGTCTAGCTTCAGGATTGCTAGCTTCACATTTTGGCCTATGGAGCTACAGGCAGCAGAGGGTAAGTTGAGGAAAATGAATTGGTTCAACTTGCATGATATTGATAGCCACAATTCTATTAATTAAGTTAACTAGTCTTATTATTTATTAATACAATTGTATTTTTCTTTTCAGACTTTGGTGACGAGTATATATCTCAGCTGGTGAGACACTTTCTGCCAGTTTTGAAGGAGGCTGGAGTGGATACGGATGCAGTAGCTGTTGAGTGGGACCTCCTGAAACAGAGACTATATGCCAAGTAAGATATGTAAATTTTATGGGCCCTTTCTGTATTAAATGACAATTTTATAAGCAGAAATAACATTTTCTAAAAAAAATTGCATCAAGTATTAGTTTGTTATCAATAATGAAACTCTGGGTTTGTAGTATAATGTTCAAATACTTTTATTTGTCAATAACAACAGATACAAGACAATCACCAGTTCCAAATGGGCAGAGGTGATTCCAGCTGTGCAGGAAGAGCTACCCAACATCAGCAGCATGGTGGACCTGATGCTGACAATTCCAGCAAGCTCTGCCGATGCAGAACGTGGCTTCAGCCGCCTGAAGCTCCTGAAAACAGACCAGAGGACACGTCTTCTTGATGACTCCGTCACAGACCAATTAGTTGTAATGCTTCATACCCCCAGCATTGAAGAATTTGATCCAATGCCAGCCATTGACCTTTGGAACAAAACTGGTAAGCGAGCAAAACGTGTAGATAAGGGAGTGGCCCAGCATGAAGAAGGTCAAGTTCAAGGGGACTCAAGCGAGGAGGAGCCCAGTGATGATGAAGACGATGTCATGATGGATGAGGCGCCACTAGACTCTGACTAAAGTTAGAAGACTGCAAGCAGTGATTCAAATAAAACATCTCAGAAAGCAACACAATGATAATGTATTCTTTACGTCTGTTTTTTTCTGGAGTATTGATCTGTTAAAGTAAACAAAGGCGCTGCGTTCCATTTGCTTAGAAAACACAGATATATGGCATATGCACATGCGGGCTAGTGAAAATGCTTGCGGGCCAGTGAAAACTCTGATTAACTAGCCCGGCTGGCCAGTGAAAAAAAAAGTTAAGGAAAACCCCTGGCTGACGCCCTGGATAACATCCAAACGGCTGTACTCACTTCTCTCTCTTCTCACTTCTCGACCTGCAAAGAAACAAAAGGTAGAAGAAAGCAGCTCTTCCGGGGAGGGCTCTGTCAAAATCGACAAAGCAGTAAGTGAATTACTACAGCAAGGGGAAGGAGAAGACACGACTGGGGAGGTCTTACAACCCTTCGAACAGCTGTACGCGGACCAGGATGCCGGCACTGCCGTGGGCGAAAAACTGGCCTCAGTTGTCGGCAAAATACTGAGACACAAGGCCCCCGATGAAAAGAACAGCATGAAACTGAAGGACTACAAACGTCCTGCAAACATTCCACAATTGGAATGCACACGAGTAAACCCTGAAATATGGGCGTCACTCAAGTCCAAAACTCACTCATCAGACATCAAGTTCCAAAAGGTACAGCAGGCTCTTCTTAAGGCCCCAGTGCCCATAGTCTCCTGCATCGAATCTCAAATGAGTACATGTATCAAAGATGCCGATGCCAAAGCACGCATCACACAATTACTAGACACGGTAGCCATTATTGGCCACGCAAATTATGAGTTAAATCTCCGACGCAGAGAACTCATAAAACCAGACCTCAACCAACAATTTGGGAGCCTCTGCTCGGCACAAGTGCCAGTCACAGAGTTGCTTTTTGGGGAAAACTTGCCCCAACAGTGCAAGAATATCCAAGAGACTAACAAACTTGGCCACAAGGTCAGTTATCGTTTTGGCTCAGGGCACAACCCGGGGCAAAAGGACGACAAATTTCGATGGCGCAACGAGAGACGCCAACATTACCAGGGGAAAGGTTTCAACTACCAACGCCCCAACTGGCACAAGGGCAAATACCAGAAAAAGAAGCCAGTTTCCACTCCGTCCAAGCGAGCGACATAAACCCAAGCGTTCACAAATGTGATATTGCTCTTAAAACGGCAGGTAGACTCGCACACTTTGTCGCCAAATGGCGAGAGCTTACTAATGATATCAGGATTCTCAACACGATCCAAAATTATCATATTGAATTCGAAAAATGGCCTTTTCAAACATGCATCCCACAGGAAATTCAATATTCAGCATCCCAGGCAGCCATTATTTCACTCGAAATTGAGAAAATGCTCCAAAAGGGAGCCATTGTTGAGACATGCCACAGTGATGGCGAATTCATTTCCAACATTTTTCTCAGACCCAAAAAGGACGGGTCATTCCGGCCCATAATTAATCTTAGAGGGCTGAATGCGTTTGTACAATATACGCATTTCAAAATGGAAACCATTCAATCTGCATTGCAGCTAATCCGTGCTAAATGCTTCATGGCATCAATTGACTTAAAGGACGCATACTTTTCAGTGCCTATAGCCAGAGAACACAAACAATTCCTGCGCTTTGTCTGGCGCACAAAAGTGTACGAGTTTACATGCCTACCTTTCAGGCTCTCATGCGCTCCACGTGTATTTACCAAGGTAATGAAACCTTTAATTGCGTCTTTAAGGCGCATGGGGCACGAGTCTTGTGATTACATAGACGACTCATTACTATTTGGTACAAATTTGAAAGAATGCTTAGACAATGTTCAAGCAAGAATAATGCTCACTGAAGCACTTGGTTTCACAGTCAATACCGATAAATCTGTAACCACACCCTCCCATGAGATCACATTTCTCAGGTTTGTGTTGCATTCGGTTCACATGACAATTTCTATACCGCCTTCTAAGGCTAGCCATGTAATTGACACCGTCAGTTACCCAGGTTCATGATTGAAACCGATGCCTCAAATGAGGGCTGGGGAGCTAACCTTAATGGACAAGCAATTGGGGGGCGATGGTCCCGTGATGAGGCCAAACATCACATTAACTATTTGGAATTGAAGGCATGTTTTCTTGCCCTTGAGGTATTTTTCTCGAGTGAAAGAAACACTCACATTCATGTGAAATCCGATAACACCACGATAGTGGCATACATACAACATTTTGGTGGGTCACAATCCCAATCACTCAATATGTTGACTAGACAGATCTGGCAATGGTGCATTGACCGAGAAATTTGGCTCACTGCCTCGCATTTAACGGGCACAGAAAACACTGTGGCCGATTTTGCATTCCGTCATTTTCATGACGACTTTGAGTGGGAACTTAATCTTGGCATTTTTAAAAGAATCACAGAAAAATTCTTTGTTCCCGATATTGACTTGTTTGCCTCACGGCTTAACCATCAGGTATGCCGATACGCATCATGGCGCCCAGAACCAGGGGCTGCATATACTGATGCATTCACTCTGAACTGGGAACAGTTTCGGTTCTATGCATTTCCACCTTTTTGCCTAATTGGCAAAGTTCTCACTAAAATTGAATATGAGAATGCATGTGGGTTACTGATTGTCCCTTTATGGCACACGCAGTCTTGGTTTCCAAAAATGCTTAAACTTTTGGCTCATCCACCAGTTATATTGCCAATGCAATCTGATTTACTTTCTCTCCCTTGTTCAGATAGACTGCATCCCTTGCGGGATCATCTATGACTGGTAGTATGCCTATTGTCAGGGAAACACTCAGACAGCAGGGCATATCAGGAAGGGCTGCCGATGTCATCATCGCGTCCTGGCGAACTTCTACCCAGAGATGCTACAGAACAGCACTGGGCACATGGCTTCAGTTCTATGCTCACACAAAAACGAATTCAATTCGAGCTGATGTCACATCTGTAATTGCCTGCCTGAATGAACAATTTCATAATGGTTCACAATACAGCAGCCTGAACACTCTGAGAAGTGCGTTATCAGCTGTGGTGCTTCCCAAGAATGGAATCACCGTGGGATCTCACCCACTCGTCAAACGGTTTTTGACTGGCGCGTTCAACTTGCGACCACCAAAGCCAAGATATTCATCTACATGGGATGTGACTGTGGTATTAAATTACCTTAAAAGTCTAGGGCTAAATAATAGCCTTAGCCTTAAGGACCTAACAATGAAACTGGTCATGCTTATATCCCTGATTTCAGGGCAGCGTTGTCAAACACTGGCATTAATGAATTTAGATAATGCTTATCCTACTGCCAAGGGTGTAACCTGTGTCATTTCTGAGTTGACTAAAACTAGTAAAGCAGGGAAAGCTCCTGTTAATGTTGTATTGGAGGCTTATCCTCATGACAACTTGCTTTGTGTAATGCGTGTTCTGAAAACTTACCTGCAAAAGACACGCCCACATAGGAAAGATAAGAGATATTTATTTCTCAGTTATGTTCGACCTCACAAAGTTGTAGGGACTGAGACAATTTCTCGGTGGGTCATGTCCACACTGACGATGTCAGGCATTGACACAGGGACATTTAAGGCCCATAGTACTCGTGCTGCAGCCTGCAGTGCTGCGTTAAGTCATGGAACACCGCTGAACATTATTATGAAATCAGCTGGATGGACACAGTCCGCCACCTTTGCAAAATTTTACACAAAACCGATAGTTTGCCAAAATAAGTTTGCTGAATCGGTTCTCATGACTAAAAAATTGTAGAATGGTGGAACACACCAGATTCTGTATTACTTTATTGTAAGCAAACCGTCCATAGAGACGAGAAACAGAATTGTTTTAAGTAAATACCACGCAAAAGAGTGGTTGAGTATTAAGTTATGACGATAAGTAGTTTCGTAAGAATGTATGAGAAGAAACATACAGCTTAAAGAGATTAAATGATCTTTGAAGTTCACGAGTCCGAATGATTTTGGTGACTTTTTGTTCTTGTCCGTCGGGTGGTCTCTAAATATCTCACGTAAGGACGAGGTGCTAGGGATAGCGAGGTAGAATTTAAAAATTAAACGAAATGAAATATAATGTAATTGAAGTTTAATCATAATTCTACCGAGTCTATACCTAGCACTGAAGGACTTACGTTCCCACCCAAACTTTTGGAGATGTGACCATAATATTTACCCATCCCGTTTTTCTGACGGACAACTTCGCACAAACAATGCACGGAGGATTACGGGCCTCGGGTGTGGTTATATAGTGGGGAAACCATTTGTTTAACAATGGGTTCTCTCAACCTAAAGAAACATACCGGTGACAGGTGCAATCTCGCGTAAGTCCTTCAGTGCTAGGTATAGACTCGGTAGAATTATAATTAAACTTCAATTACATTATATTTCATTTCGTTTAATTTTTAAATCATTCTGTTTAAGCTCTCAATGAATACTATGAAATCCGACACAGAATATTTTAAAAAGTATTTTAATGGGAATGTTTTGATAGCATTAGTTGGCTTTTTTGTTGATTATCAATAAGTTTTCTTAAAACCATGTTTGAAATTGTCAAGTACAGAACATAGCCTGCAATATAAAAAAATATTTCTGAAAGTACCTAGTGTTTATCACAAACAAAAGAATTAAATGCATGGCTTCAAACTAATAAACCGACACTGCTTTAACAAATAAGCTTGGTGAACATTCAAAGATTCCCAAAACCATACAAAACACTATAGTATGTCCATGGGTTTTCCACAAACAACTGGCTGCTATGGATTTGCCTTGGGTTCATCATATCCCCTACGGTGTGTGAAATACAAGCACTGATCTTGACATACGCTGTACATTAACTTTTGTCGCTTTTTGACCAGTTCACTTTGATTCTCCAAATATGGCCACCTACGTACGAACATTCTACTTACAAATATTGTGCGCTTCAAGACATACTTAGAGACATACATGTAGTAAAGGCTGTTTGACAGCAAGCAAGCTTGCCGCTATAAACAGAACAAATGCCTGTCAAATAACTCACCTGAGGCAAACCACTAGACATGAACTGTAGCATAGCCATCTGTGCTGTAGCATCTTGCATGGCAACACGGTCTGGTCTTAATTTCAGGTAACTTTCACCACGCTCGATGTCCTGCAATGACATAGGTCACACATTACATGTACATCACTAGCAATAACAACATTATCAAATAAAGCTGCTTCATACTTGGTACAAATGCGAACACAGACACAACTTTTTGATGTCTGTGCAGGTACTCTTACTGCAAACTTCACCGTATGGACTTCATTCAAAATAGAACGTGTAAGGTCAACAATTTTAAAGATATAGTCCATCATTTGTAATTTGTGCATTTTGTTCGTTTGAAGCAACAAAAGTGATCAAAATCTAATGAAGGATACTGAACAACTAACCTGATGAAGTTTCAGTTCAGCTTCAGCTGTATATTCCGAGAAAAACAGCATTCTAGGATCTCAATTTCAAATCAAAAGTTGCTGAATCATGTTTTGAATTGTTTTGAATTGCAGCTATACGCGATGTCGCGCACTGATCCGACGAATTATAGCAACTGCGCGCGCCTGTGCGTTGTGCCAATGCTTGCGCGCGCTGCGCCGAATAACAAAACGAACTACTAATTTAAATTTTCTTAAGACGCACCGTAACTATGGGGGTAGCAGGGAGGGGGCGGAGGGGGGGGGGGGGGAGTGGGTAGGGGTGTGGGGTGGGGGGCACATGTCCCCCAGTAGATGTCCTTGCCCTGAGGTGTCTAACAACCCCCTCCCCCCTTAAAAATCTTGAATTGAAAAAAAAACCAATCATTTGGCCCATATATCCATTGTGCCATATATAATTTTTAAGTGCCTTCTTTGAAAACTTGTTCACACTGTGTTGGGGGATGGGGGGCGCTACCGGGGGATATGGACTTCCACTGGGGGACACGTGTCCCCACCAATGACACCCCCCCCCCCCCCCCCCCCCCTATTTACACCACTATCTAGAGCTAGCAAGATGCTGTATATAAACATTTGACACAACACATTAGGGCTGTCAAGGGCAAGTACCGGTATGTACAGGTCAATGTGCACTTGTTGTACAAGTACGTGTGTAAATTATATACAAATTAGATTTTTTCCTGGACCAGGGTTCGACCTTAGCAGTGGTCCGCTGGCCAAATGCCAGTTGAATTGCCGGCAGACCAGCTGAAACACCTTGCCAAGTGGTCCGGCTGGCCAGCTGAAAAAATCTGTGTCAAAAAAATGCTTGTTGTATTTATTTGGTTTCTTACTTACATTCGCTATTTTTTTTCAAAAGAAACCTCCGTTATTTTTACAAATTCGCTTTGCGATATGACTACTTCGCAAGCAACTCGATGTCACGGTGACTATACTGTGCGTAAACCCTGCTCAATGCAGCGATGACTGGTTCCTGCCGCACCAATTTAGAAGCCATGATGAAAATGTGGTAACTAGTCTGTGCACGGCTATGCGATCGATAGCGCTAGCCCGGCTATGCATTGTGCAGGCACGTGCTCTGTCAACTGGTCGGATTCGACATCGTAAAATGCCAAGAAAACACCGATGGAGAAAGAACATTTTTGCAAGTTAATTCACAGAATTGATCTAGCTTGTCTGTGTATGTATTTTCCGTGTTCAAGAGTTCATTTTGAGATCGCTCTACTCGTATTTGACGTGATACAATGCATCGTGTTTCCCGAAATTTTCGACCATAAAAACAAGGTCTGTTGGCTGCGCCACACACTGCACAGTGCATCACACACTACGGAGTTTTGGCCAGCTTCCCGTATTGACTAGCGTTGTGCATAGGCTATGGTGCGAACACCCTGAATTTTCCATTATTCTTTACGAATTATCGAATGTAAATATATTGACAATAAGGCCAAAAAAAGGATAGTTCTGCTTCCGGTTACCCGACCGACCCTATTTTTAGGCTGCGACCCTAAAAATGTTATCGCCAATTCCCCCCCCCCCAAAAAAAAAGATTGAATAAATAAAAATGAAATATTGTTGTCTTTTCTGTCTTCACAAAATACCTCTCAACAACCCTTTTGCATCAAAAAATGCTTGTATTTCTTTGTTTTCTTACTTTCATTCGCTTTTTTTCAAAAGAAACCTCCGTTATTTTTACAAATTCGCTTCGCGATCGCAATTCGATGTCACGGTGACTATAATTACGTGGTGACGACTGGTTCCCGCCGCGCGCGCCGCGCAGGGGCCAATTTAGAAGACATGATGAAAATGCGGTAACCAGTCCATAGCGCGCTAGCAGTGTAGGCCACTGTCAACTGGTCGGACTCGACATCGTAAAAATGCCAAGAAAACACCGATGGAGAAAGAAAATTTTTGCAAGTTAATTTACAGAATTGATCTAGCTTGTCTGTGTATGTATTTTCTGTGTTCAAGAGTTATTTTGAGATCGCACTACTCGTATTTGGATGGATACATGCCGTGTGTTTCCCGAAATGTTTGCCCGTAAAAACGGGTCTGTCGGCCAATGGTCGGCCCATGGTGGGCCGCTCGCCACGCACGCACGTATCACACACCTCGGAGTTTTGGCCAGCTCCCCGCGTCTTGACTAGCGTTGTGCATATGGTGCGAACGACCTGAATTTTCCATTAGGCTATTTTTTGAAATTATCGAACGTAATCAATATATTTATATTGACACTAATTAAAGGGAAAGATTTCCATATACGAAGTTCATGAACACTCTGTGTACAAACCGTATGAGAGTGGACTGAAAAATTCTAAGTGTTTTCTAAGAAAATGCTTGTATTTTCTCACTGCTCAAATTGACTTTGATGACATGAAATTGCTATCTGGGGGCTTGTTAGTCAATACAGAGGAAAATTAGTGAACTTCGCATATTGTAATCTTGCCAAACTTCGCATTATTATAATTGAGTACCCCATTCAATCTGCATAAAAAAAATTGGCAAAAAAAAGAAAGAATTTCCGACCGACAGACCCTATTTTTGAAAGGCATGTAATCGGTAGCAAAACTTTTTTTTGGCCTAATTAAAGGGAATATACATCATTTGCTTTTGCTGTAATTTTCAGAAATGGATGGAATTGGGGGTTGGAAATATGAAGCAAATATAGTTACACTGACTTTTTGGAGGTTTTGGGTTCGAAAATGCTATAAAAACCAAGAAAAACGATCATTTTCCTGTAGTCTGGTTCCCTGACTCCATATAAGAAGAAACAGAGCAGTTTACATACATTGGTGAATTGTAAGGTCAGGGAACCAGTCTAGCTGGCCCGTACCCGTTCATAGGTTTGTAATCGATTGCAAACAAGTGCAATGGTCAATTGTGGCCAGTATTTGAAAAAAAGCCAGTTGTTTCCAACGCTGATCGGCCGATCAGCGTTGGAAATTGATACAAAAATACCAATTTTCTTGAAAATGACAGTATACCAGGTGCCATAATTTTACAGGATGCTTTAGACTGTCATTTACCAACATCCTATTAAGGTATTTCGCAAAAACTTGGTAGTTTTATTTTTCGATGTTTGCAAATGTTGTATATTCCCTTTAAGGTAGGTTTTATTCACTTTTTGAGGCCATCATTTTGTGTATAGCTTTCGTAGTGCAATAATAATAAATCAGACTAAAACTTCGCATACTGAGGCCTAATTGAATAACCCATTCAATCTGCATAAAAAAATTGGCAAAAAAAACCCCCAAAAATCCGACCGACCGACCGACTCTATTTTTAAAAGGCATGTAATCTGAGGCAGAACTATATTTTTTATTTTCGGCCTCAGATCATGGAGGCAGAAAATAGACCTCTAATTTCTCAGGTGACATGATGACATGGGTGTTGACTATAGTCTAATTATGACTTATGTGAAACTGATTAACTGGTGGGTACACGCTGTATAAGATGGACCAATCAAAAACTTGGCGGACCAGTCAAAATTCTAGCCAACTGGTCCGGCTGGCCAGTCAAAAAAAAAGTTAAGGGCAACCCCTGTGGACATGCTATCTTTAAAAAATTATAACTTGAAAACATTAAGAGCGCCCATCACAAAATTTTCCAAGACTGTTGCTTACATCATAAACTAACATGCTAAAAAAAGAGCTTAGTTTAATATGATGTACAATATGATGGGTTCAAAATAGTGTTGAACTGACACGGAATGACCCAAAGGTTAACCTTGGCATAAGCATGTGTGTGTGATGTGGGAAAGGATGCCCTGGCCTACACCGCGTTGTGGGGAAGTTTTTCATTGTTGCGGTAATTAGGACCGAGTTGGGGGGACTTTCTGCTGTCCCCACAAATACCTCGCACAGACGATTGTATGTCCTCAGAACTACGGAACAAAACTGTATGTGGTGCAGTGGTCCACAGAACACCTACTGGCCATGCCTGCTTTGGCACAGTTCCAGGCTCTGAACAGCATGCATGGGAGCTAGGGTGGTCTGTTTGAGGCACACACCTTGGCACCGCATCATTAACACCACAAGTCCCTATATTGGCCGAGGATTGTCCATCTGTATTGCTTGTATGCACACCCAATTCCATGGCATTTGAAAGGTCAATCTGATTGCATATTTGTCTTTTACTTTTAACTTTATGGATTCAGAATTAAAGCCACTTATCTTTATTGAGTAAGAAATTCTCACTTATTTTGATTTGATTGGCTACATTCAAGGAAAGTTGGCGTACCTGTATATGCTAGCACTACTAGCTTACATGTATCATCTATCATATTATGCTTTGGCTGAAAATTAAAAACGTGGGAAGCTCTTTGATACTTTTCCCCTCAACAATAAATGTTTCAGGTGAATTGACCCAGAAAGCAATAAGCTCACATGGTAAAGAAACCAAATTGTTGCAGAATATCTTGTGATTCGCATGCTATTTGCATGTACCGTAATTTTCGGAATAAAAGCCGCGTGGAGTATAAGCCGCAGCACGCAAAAATCTGCAAATTAAAATTTGACGTCGGCGTATTAGCCGCACCGGTGTATAAGCCGCACCGACCGAGGCAGTTTCAATTTTGTAAGGCCTCCAAAATTCTGAAGACTTAAAGTCAAAAAGCTCTGGACCCGTTTCAATTGCACTACGAAAGCTATAAAAAGAGCCACAAAAGTTATATAAAAACATTTACGGTCGATACTTGTTAAAAAGAAAAATGAAAATTGATGATGAGAAATAACACCAGGAATTGCTGCCGGCTGGCTCGGCCTGTTCCTGGCCTAAAAGTTAGTGCTTGGCCCGGCAGCCTGTGCCGGCGAATGACACCATTTTTCCGCAGCACTTGAGAGAGTATGCAACCAACCATGTGTCGTCTGACTGGGGCACTACAAATCTTGCTTTGTGGCAACAGATGCTGATTTGTTTTGTCCTAAGAATAAATACAGTAAACATTTTCATGGGCAAAATCAACGTATAAGCCGCGGCTTATATTCCGAAAATTACGGTAGTTACTTCACATGAACACCATAATAAACGTGTGTAATTGGCATTTTTTCTCTTTTTGTGGAAATTGGTCCAACTACTCACGAGTACATGACTACCAGTGAGTAGTTTCTTTGCAAGTTCTCAAGTTCAAAATCACTGCTTGCCTAAGAGTACTCCATGCAAACACGCAAAGTAAATACCGTTATCCATATACTGCAGACTTGTTTGTGTACCTGTGTTTCTGGATCTTCAAGATGACTGTAAACAATCTTCTCAGACAGTGTCAAAGGACGCCTGAGACGGTCTTTCACAATCTTCAATTTGCTGTCCATTACATCATAGTTGATAAATTTGTCTTCATCAAACCGACTAATAGCAACCTATATGAAAAATATCAAGATTATTTAAGAGCGTTACACATCATACTGCTAAGCATTGCTTTAATTATGCTGAAATACAAGAGCAAAGTGATTATAATAGCTACAACATACTGTTCATTTATATTCATAAATACCTAAGACAGTTTACGCATTCCTATTGGTTGAGAGCCCGTCACGTGGCCGGTCTTAAACGGATGATAAAAACATGGCTAGCTGGACTTAAACACTTTTCCAGTGTCACATGAAATTTGGACTCCCATGAAATCCGGTGCCTTTTAACGTTTCATTGGTTGAACGTTCACATTCCTCACGTATGCATGCGCAATGTACTACCAGTGAATCAGTATTTCATGGTCCGAAATTCACACTACACCAGCCCAGCTGCGACTCGCACGCCAATGTCCTTATAAGGTAACGAGTTGTGGAGGGGCATTCCATATTATAGTCAGAGGGGTGTTTCGTAAAACATGAAGTAAAATTGTTGAACAAAATGGTTGGCAACGTCTAGTTTTTGACGTGTTTTGATTTTTGGACTGAAAAGATTTTTTTTTGACCGAAAAGGTATTTATGAATGGGAATAAATATGTGTTTGGTCGGTATTAAACACTCTGTTTAAGACTGGTGGGAGTCTGGATGGGTGATAATTACCCTCAGCTTCTTTCCAGACTCCCACTGGTCTTAAACAGAGTATTATAATACATCCAGAACACACATTTATTCCCTTATTAAAGTATAGTTAATAAATGGCTTGAAATGAAACTTAATGCCCTGGAGAGCAGCACTACAGTAAGCTCCCTGAGATGCTGGTACAGGGTGAGAAAACAAAAGTGACCGAATTAGAAAAAAATGATTTTAAAAATGTGTGGCTCGCAGTATTTCATAAAAATAACCCAGGGATAAAGTACATGTCACTGACTAGTAACTGTGAAAATTTCACGTAATTTGCATACTCTATTCCTATTTATTTTGATAAAGACATTACAAATTCAGCTGTCCACCACTGATCATTTACCATTCTATGAACTGATGAATACCATTATACAATGAAACTTGGATGTTTTCGCACGTCCATGAATGAACGAAAACTTGCAAAGCAAAACAGATAAAAATCGCCAACAATATTTCAGAAAAAAAAGTTGACTTGTTCCTCATATTCAAAACACAAAATCTGACAGTGAAATAATGTTTGTCTTGCCTCAAATGATTAAAATCTCACATTAGTATTTTAAAGGCAGTGTGTGCTGTAATCTGAAATTCTCACTCAGCTCAATGGCATTCCATGGTCAGCTATAAATGAATTATTTTAGTGAAGCATAACTTCTGATAGCATGCGCAGATCAATTTCAGTTTAAAAAATCCAGATGAATGGAAGAACACTTGTCCTCTTTTAAGACATACTTCATTGGTGTATCAAATTTGATTGCTTTTTAAGAGAAAAATATCATGAATGCAGGTCACTTTCTTTTTGACTCACCCTGTATTTTCAGTCTAAAGGAGTTAATCAATAAAACACAGTAATTAAATCAACCATTTTGAAAACTACGTATCTCAAAAAGTATTATTATGATTCTTTTCATTTTTTTAACCAGAGAGAAAACAACACTGAAAACTCACAATAACAAAGTTGCATTTTGCATGTAAAAACAAGGTGTCAAAATGACTACCTAAAATCCATCGTTTTAGGCCCCCCCCCCCAAAAAAAACCCTATTTTGGGGACAAACAAAACACTTCACCAAATTCCATCTCATTGGCACACCACTCAAATGAAAGGACTTGTTATCCGTTAATTTGATAGCACATTTGAGGTTGTAATGCTTTGAAGTTTTGAAGATTTCATAAAAATAATAGTAACAAGATCTTGAAATTATTGAAAAATTTAGAGGATAAAATGTAGTACCAGTTCATGTGTACACATGAGTTGTGTACACACGTCAATTTACTTTACCTTTGCCCGTTGGCATGCATTGGTTGTAGTTTGAAGCATTCTGGCTTGAAGCCTCGTTGCAAAGGCAAACTGCATCTGTTATTAAATATCACACATACATACATATGTTTGGAAATCAGATTTTAATACATAAAATGAATTTCAACCCAAAATCAGCAGGTTAGAGCACCATTTAGGAAGACTACATGTTGTTGTCAATTAGGGTAAAAAAGAGTTCTGAGGCTGTTGAACGTACTGTTTAAAACAGGAAAATGCATTTGTACATGTACATGCACATGTATGTCAGACCAAACGCACAAACTAATGCTTTAATCTTATTGTGCAATGGGAATCTTTTTTATCGGAAACAAACCCTGGTATCAGGGTTCCATATTAACAAAATATTGGTCATAAATAATGTTAGTACTTCTTCAGTGGTCAGGTACATTTAAGTAATTGCGCAGTGGCAAACACAAAAAAAACACTTTTCAGTCACCAGTCCACAGTTTGGAGGCAACAAATTCAAATGTTGGTCATATTCAAAGTATGTTCATGAATTAATGACAAAGTAATTGTGAAGTTCAGAACCAGCAGATAGACTGGACCAAACATAAATGCCTCTTTTAACATTTGGACATGATATGCGACTGTAGATATCGAGCAAAAACCTTCCACAACATGACCCAAGATTCCACCACAAAAACTACAAACTACAATCCCGGCCAAAATGGTTGGGACACATCCAAACAATAAGCATACCCTCCCCTAGTCCCCGCTCCCCTGGTCAATGTTGTTATCTCGCACTTGAGCACAGACCACGCAATGAGAGACAACATTGGCCGGGGCCGGGGGATGGGGATGGGGATGGGGGCCCAGTGAGTTTGGCCGGGATTGTACAAATGTAGTTACTGGTGCTGGCATTCAAAACAATGCAGGTACAATATTTATTGTGACTCTGAAAGGACACAATTGATCAATTACCAATTTTCTGAAGTCTTTGAAAAAAATGCGATGTTGTGAAAGAAATATCCTACAGTATGTCATAAGAGAAAACTGCAATTTAAAAAAAATCTAATGTCCTTTCAGGGCAACCATAAATTTGCATAAAACTAAGACAACCTCTGCATAATTGTATGCCCTTTTCAGACCTTACCTACATGTATATTTTTAACTTGCAGACTAATAATCATGACATTACAATTGTTCAATAAATTTCCATGGCAAATTTCATTATCATAACCCCTAACCCTATGAGGTACATAACTGCCTAAAAACCCTGAACACAAAACCATGCAACACATGTCAAAATGAGAAACCTGCCCCATGTAGCAAGATCCATCAGTTCAAAAATTAAATCTCAAGGCCAAAATAGCTCCCATTGTCTCAGAATTGGCTGTTATTGCACTAGCTCAATACAATTAATACAGCAAGGTCCCATAGACTTTTACGTACTTTATACGATGCACCTTGTTGCATTTCTAGAGCAGGTATAGGGGTAAGGTAATAACATTTGATTGAACAAATACCGTATGAAGTTCATCAACAAAAAGGTTTGCCAACAGAGGAAAGTCTGGGGGAAAGTTGCAGTATTACTGTGTCAGTCCACTGACATCCAAGATGACATACTGGATCTTCATATAGACCCTGTCTGTTTGGAGGTACATGCATCAGTTACTTTGTCCCATTTCAGTTTGGTCCATGCCACTTTGCTCGAGAAACTAAAGGTATTCATCTATTTATATTGTAGATTACCTCATAATGAAATGATGCTTGTAAGGCAGGTTTCATTTTATGTGTACTTCTCATCAGTTTAAATAAGCCTCCAAAGTTTCTTGAAAGCAGTTTTGAAGGATTTACATTACCCCTGGGTGATTCCAGCATCAAGGAAACTGACTCAGACCATGTTTTGAACTTTGCACTGGGAATTAAACTGATAGTATATTTTTCAAATCATATACATCCAGCATCAAGTTTGGATCATCATGATTAATTGGCTATGTCATGGACGTACATGTTCCATTAACCCTATGGCCTCCCAAAAAGTCTCCGGTTTCTTGTATGGAGCTTGCACCAAAAGTGGTGCAGCGACGTGTGTTTTTTTTTCCCCCAACTTTTTTTTTCTTCAAATGTCGGCTGATGTTGCAGATGACACTTCGATCCCCTTAAAACTCTCAAAAATATCCTTCAGAGTGGAGCTTGAGGTGACCTCAGTAAGGCTGTCACGCCCCAACTATCGCATCGGTCCCAACTATAGTTGGGCCTGTCCTAACTATAGTTGGGCCTGTCCCAACTGTAGTTCCACAGTTGGGCTGGCCCAACTATAGTTGGGCCTGTCCCAACTATAGTTGGGCCTGTCCCAACTATAGTTGGGACGGTCCCAACTGTAAGTTCCATTGTTGGGCTGGCCCATCTATAGTTGGGCCACTCCGATCTTTTTATTTTGCGGTGTCCCAACTATAGTTTACATTGATGTACAACTGTAAAACGTTCCCTTCAGCTCTGATACACGTCTGACTTTACTGGGGACCACTGAAATTAGTTATTGATGGGGCGAATCTATAGTTGGGCCACTCCAATCTTTTTATTTTGCGGTCCCAACTATAGTGTACATTGTTGTACGATTATAAAACGTTCCCTACAACTCTAATACACATCTGACTTTACTTGGGACCAATGAAATTATCTATGGGTGGGGACCATCTGTAGTTGGGCCACCGCAATATTTTTATTTGGCGGTCCCAACTATAGTTTACATTGATGTACGACGACTATAAAACATTCCCTACAGCTCTGTTACATACTGTCCGACTTTACTTGGGACCTTTGACATTAGCTATGGGTGGGGCCCATCTATACTAGTTGGCCGGCCATGGCAATGAATTTTGCAAAATGTTGCTGGACAATCAACCCAGCAGCTGGACAACTCATCCAACTAGGCAGTACCACGTGACCGGCCAGCCTTGCGGCATGCATGCACGACGAATACACGGTGCCAGCGCCGCGGAACATTTAATCCAACAAGATCTAGATCAAGCATGAAGCATCCGGCGCAACTCCAGTCCTAACTATAGTTGGGCCGACCCAACTGCCGCACTATAGTTGGGACAGTCCCAACTATAGTTGGGACCGATGCGATAGTTGGGGCGTGACAAGGCCATAAGGCTGGAGAATTCTGCACCCACTTACGATCTCGACCAACACGAACATTCTTCGGGAAATTTGGATAAAGACAAAAATCAGAGCATGAGCTGCCAGGCTGGTCATTAGTCTGCTCCTTTACAGATTGCGCTAATTAAAAAGCATTTACAGGTTCCAGATACATGGCCATCGCTCCCTCAGTCTGGCTTCCAGACGCACATTTGCAAAATAACAACACCGTCTGCAAGTGGTGCCTGACTAAATTTAGTGCAAAATATATGGGAGCCCAGAGAGGCCACATAAAGCTTATACTCGATCGTAACCCCATCCAAAAACACATTAAAATTGTGCAGCAGCAGGATTCCAATCAAACCAGTGAGTTTGGTGGTTTTGAGAAATCATCTTACATTGAAAAAAAAAACCCTTTTTATTTTTGCCGACGGACTACGGACTACGATGGCTACGGACCAGTAACTGGAGACTTTTTGGGGGGCCTAACCTCCCCAAATTCTCCAAAATCCTCTTTACTTGCAACGTCTTCCCCAAGACGGGCCGAGGGAGCATCAAATCATGTGCGCGCATCTACCACTCGTCATACAAGAGCAAAGAAGCTTACAATCCTCAATATCAACTTCCAAAGTTTGAAAAATAATAATTGAATTTTTGGCACTTCTCCAAGACCAAAAACCAGACATCGTTTTTGGTTCAGAAACCTGGCTCAACAATTCTATCCTTGATGCCGAGTTATTTCCCCCGAATATGCAGTCTTCAGGAAAGTTTGCCCAGATGGATATGAAGGGGTTTTAATCGCTATCAAAAACCTCTCTGCTCATCTTGTTGACAATCTAAACTCTGATTCCAAATGCACAGGTTCGCGTTAAGTTCGGCCCTAAGAAGGTGTAGTTGGAGCATTTTGATTCTTCACATCGACCCATTGATATGCTTAACTCATCGATATCTAAGCTCCACCAGACAACGAAAGGAAACTGTAAAGTCTGGTTGGGTGCAGACTTCAACATAAATTGACATAAATTGGACATAAGGACATAAATTGGTCTGATCAATCCGTTTCTGCTGGAAGCAACATTGCCACCCAGTGCAAGAAATTTATGACAACATCCTGGATTTGCTTCTTGTTTCCAATCCTACTATTTTTGATTCTTTCCAAATTTTGCCTGGATTAGGAGACCACAGTATTGTGAAAATTCATGTTAACACTGGATGTCAAAATGTAAGCCATCCCGCAGAAAGTTTTTCTTGTATATAAAAAGAAAATTTGATGATCTTCGCAAAGATTTGGCTACCTTCGGGGTGAGCTTCCTACAGGAAAATTCAATCAAGATCTGTTAATGAGAACTGGACTCGCTTGAGAAGTACACTCTGACTCATGTCGCTTACTGAACAACATATTTCATCAAAATTCCATCACATGGTTTAATTTGCCTTGGTTCTCTCCCACACTTTGCCAACAAAACAGTAGGCTCCAAAGATTGTATAACCAGCAGAGAAAGCCAAAAGGTTTTCAAGAGCGCCCGTAAAGCATACAAGAGTAACCTTAACAAAGCTCATGATCAATACATGATGTATGAGAATCTTCAGAAGAACCCAAAGAAGTTTTGGAAATATGTGAAATCCAAACGCATACAATGTTGGTTTTCACCCGCTAAAGAGCGACAGTGAGACAGTGTCTGACCAAACCGGGAAAGCCAACATCTTAAATTCATTTTTTAAGTCAGTCTTCACGCAGGAGGACACTACAACTCTTCCCTATTTTCAGCAGATCTTCCCTGATATTGAGCCACATGATGTAACATCTGAAGGTATCCAGAAACTTCTCCATGAATTAAATCCATCAGAAATTCTCAGTGAATGAGTAATGAACTGGCACCATTACTGACAGCTCTCTTCAATCAATCTGTCATCTCGGGCCAACTCCCAGATGATTGGATTACTGCCAA